TGTGGGAAAGCGACAGTACGGTGCGGATTCGAGGTAGTGGGAAGAGGGTGGATGAGAAAGGGGAATGGTGGTGTGAGGAGATCGCAGGGGAAGAGGATTAGTGGAGGGGTGGGGCGGGTAAGAGTGTGTGGGGGAGTGCTCTGCCCAATTCCTTAGGATAGAAGCCACGGTGCTATGACCATTGCGCCTGAGTGTGTAACCGCTGCAAGTTGGTTGTCCCTGGCCCATGTGACCAGGAACCAATGCCTGCCTCTGGGCATGAGGCCTCTTGCTGCTTTCCTAATCCAATCCACCCGGATCATGACCCGGATCCAGGTCTTGAGCTTCTGGATGCTGGTGTCGTCGCTGGTCCACTGCTGTCTGAAGAGTATGTTATTCCGGTCTTCCCAGATCAGCCAAATGATGACGGATCTGACAGCTTGGGCTACATATCCTCTGCCTATGTGCCGGAACCAAGTTGCAGGTATGCACCCTAGCAGGGCCCAGCTTTCATTCCAGCTCAAGAGGTCGCCCACAAAAAGCTGCCAGTGTCTGTGCCACCATTGCCATATCCGTTTGGATGCGGGACAGGACCAAAAGAGATGTTGAGTAGTCTCCTCCTGTCTGCTGCCACAGCGTTTGCACGTTGTCTCCAACTACACGCCTCTTTCGAAGAGCCAAACCGCGCTTGGTATTGTCCCGTGAGAGAGTAGCCAGAGCAGAGCTACTAACTTCTGCGATGGCAAGGCTGGTAGCTGGTTCCAAAGTACAGCAAGTTGCCCTGCCGTGATGTGGTTCTCTCGAGACGAGTGTCTATTGAGAGTTGCTGCCACTGTATCCGGGATGTTCCGGTCCTTGTTGAGCAGGGTGCGCCCAAGGCCTGTGGAGTATTGGGAGATGAACTTCCTCTGAGTGGGGTGTGGCTCCCAGTAGCTTCCTAGGGGGTCCATCCTTAGGGCCCACAGCGGACGGCCTTGCTGTAGCAGGGTGTGTGTGGTGTTCGCTCCTGTGGAGATTGTTTGGACCCGGATCTGCTGGAGCCGTTGATGGCTCTGAAGAACTACCTCACTCTCGAGGTGCAGTCTGCTGAAATCGGTCATGCCTGGCGGTACTGTCCATTTCTGCGCTCGTGCTGTCCATTTCTGCGCTCGTACCAGGTCGTCATCGAGCTGTTCCATAATCAGGTAGGCAGGCCTGGGGTCTTGGTCATCAGGGCAACGGTACCATTCACCTTCCACTGGACCTGTTGAGAGCAGCATTGTTCGCCAGTGCTGGGGGATGGCTTGCAAAAGCTGGAGCCTTCTTTCTCCAATTCTTTGTAAACTCCCCAGCTTCTGCTTAGCTCTTCCACAGTTATCCATGATTTTTTGGGTGTTCGTTCCAGAGGTCCTCACCCCTGGTGATGCCCCTCTCTGTCCATCTCCGCCTGAAGGACCCGGGAGCCAGCATCGCTGTAAAAGACATTCCTTCTGCGTTCTGCAGCGCCGGGTTTTCGAAAAGATTCTGCCTCAAGACTTCTTCACGCATGACTGGTTCCTTGTGATGGGTTGGCAGCAGGGCTCTCCCCGCTGTCCAGCATGCATTGGCCAGCTGGGAATGCAGCTGCTTGTGCGCATAGGAGGGCATAAAAATGCAGTTCCAAACGTCTTCAGTTCTGGACAAATGCAGCTCCTGCTGCAATATGTACTCCAATACCACTACCCAGGTTCGGCAGCCTGCCTGCGTCAAGGCTTTGAATATCCATTTGGCTAGGAGGGCAAGGTTTTGATTGTGAGGGTCCATCACTCCAAGACCTCCCTGCTGTTTGGGCGAAGATACTTTAGCCCAGGAGCATTTCGTGATGAAGCCTTGTCCATCCCGCTGTTGGCTTCCAGAGGTAACGTGCTGCATCACCAGTTAGCTGCTTGACGGTTGGTTTCGAGAAAGATGGCCACCACGTGCCACAGTTGGGAGAATACAACCGTTGTGATCAGCATCGCCCGCCCACGGAGTGACAAGCCCACCGCCATCCTGCATTTCTGAGGGCTTCCTGTGTCTTGGCTCGCAAGATCTGGCGCCCAGCGCCCAGCCTACTCTACCCGACTATCCTACCTACAGCTGTGTTCACGCAACAGGCTCACTTCGACTCTCGAAAACCAATGCACATGACTGTCAACACCATAGCCGACCTCTCTTCATGCACCAGATACGTATCTCGTCACCCTCAATCAGACCTTGGTATCCCCACACTCGCTTCCTTCCCTGAAGACCACCAGATCACCCGCATTACCCCCTGGCGCCCAGCAGCCCGGCTATGGCTGCCAGCGAAGCGCCCTTGGCCGCAGCGCAGCATCAAGAAGTAGCACAGCAGCACTTCCGCATTGCCTACGCAGGCCAGAATGCCTGGCCTGGGCTGCCTCACTTCCTATATGGAAGTGGCAGCCTCCTGGATGCTGCGTGTGGCCTGGCTGGAAGCTTCCAGTAGCTTCCGGTTGGGCCTCAGACCCTGCACCCAGGCCCGAGACTACAGTTGAGGGCCTGGGCCCCTTTACAGTTGGGCACGGCCTGAGTCTTCAGACTTGGGCTGTTTGCTGCATCTGTGCAGGGCTCCCAGGTAGGTGCGTGGACAGTACTGCTTTTGCCTAGGCCGACGGCGTGCTTCTCTTTTTTTTTTTTTTTTTTTTTTTCCAAAGGACAACCCCCTGCAGTGCTAGCGGTGCTGACGAAATCAGACACCGCTAGCACCTGGGGAGAGGCTCCGTCTATTGGTGGGGAGCATCACCTGCTGGAAAGCGGGTCCAGCGTCCCTTTACAACACAAATACAGAATGCATACAGAGTGAGGGAGCCTGCCAGCATTGATTACTCTGGCATCCAGAGGATTGGCTGTGCAGGTGGTCTCGGGAGGGGAGGGGAGGAAGCCTCTTCGCCTTAGTACCAGGCGCCAGATTTTTACTGCTAGAAAGCTAGCTCCTCCCTCAACTTTTGGATAAAGTTATGGGAGAGATATGGGAGAGATACAGACACAAATCTGAAAGACTGCTTTATTCCACCAGCATTGATTGCCCGGGGCAAACCCCGGGGATTGACTGAGTGGACTACCTCTGACTGGGTATGTAGGGGCTGCTGCAGTACACTAACACTCAAACCCTCCGGTCTGCTCAGGCACACCCGCACACACCCATGCGTCTTGAACCTTGATAGTCTCAAAAGAGCCTTCGGCAAGCCGCGTCCGGGGGGCACCGGAGGGGCTTGTCTCAGGCCGTCTCACTTCTTGCGGCCTCATCCGGGTATATCCAATCTTGTCGAGATTGTGTCTCAATCTTGCAGCCGAGTTATGTGACAACTTCCATCAGGGCAAGGGAGTGGGGGGGGAACGGGTCCGGGAATTCAGACGGGGGCCTCATCGGGAAGGTTGGGTCAATCTGGGTCCAGTCGTTGAAGATAAGTCTGTAGTCTCTCGGAGTTCCTTGCTCTGTCCCAGCGGCCCTATCCCCAGTCCACTCAATTCGAGCCATCCATCCGCCCTGTTGCCCGCCCAACCATTCTATACAGAAACTCGTGATCGCCCTCCTTATGTCCTGGTTCGTCTGAAACATGTCTAACTGTGGTTTGAGGTCATCCCATCTTCGTGACAGTTCCATTTGCACTAATTCCTTTATCTGCCCTGTCAGTTCAGGGCCCTCGATCTTAACCCCCTCCAAAACTAAAAGGCAGTGTTGCCACCAAAGCGCCCATAGTATCGGCCCTGCTTTGTGTGTATATGCCCAGGCGCAACTGTCAAGGCATGGGCCAACTGTACGACGCAGCTTAATGGGGCTCACGCGTCCACTCAACCAACTGGCGTGCGGCAAGAGCCTGAATACCCACATCTGAAAGTGTCAAATTTTGGCCTTTGACGAATATTCAGGCCCGCCTTCACTTAGGGCGGGCACTCGGCTTGCTACGTAAGGAGTTTAGAAACTGGTGGTTTCTAAACTTGGCCCACTTGCAGTTTGCCACTCAGAAATTTCAAAGGCCCAGAAGCTTGGGCCTCTGTGCTCTACCTCTGGCAGGCCTCCCAGACTTTGCCGCACTTTCTCTCTCTCCTCCACATCAGGACGAGTGGGAACACCCAAGCAGGGGCCTGATAATGACAAGGTCTAGACCTAGGTAGGAGGAGGGCAAGGCAGTGGACATAGGCCGAGGGACTGGCAACGCAGAGGACAAGGAGTAGCAGCCACGGTCTGAACGACTCCAACATGGTACAGGCACATCTGAAGCGGCACACACAGACATACTGATGTTGACATCGACATATCGTTTCTTAACTTTCTTTGTTTTTGTTTTTCTTGACACTTATTGATTGCTGTATCAAAAGGATATCACCGGCATAACGTTTCAAAGCATAGCACCGACGTCACGTTTCCATGTCAAAGGACATCAGGTTAGTACCTGGAGGTGCTCATACCACCCCATGGCACCACCCTCGACGAGGTGCTTTTTAAAAAAAAAAAAAAAAGGATAGCATGGTATACTCAGGTTGTGTGTGACGCAGACAGCCGATGAGGACAATTAGATGGACTACGAAGATTTCAAAGCACAGGGGGTAGGCAGAGGAAACTGATCACCCACACGGCTAGGAGGGCAATGGCAAGGGAGTTGACCAGGAGGAAAAGGAGGAGGAGGAGGGAGAGTAAAAGGAGGAGGAGGGAGAGGAAAAGGAGGAGGAAAAGAGAGGGGCAAGAAGGACAAGAAGAATGAAAAAGAAGACTGGGTGGATGTGTAGAAGCAAGTTCAAGCAACTACACCACTGAGAAAATGACATTTTTATGTGACTCTAATTTATTCTGTGCCTATCACAGCCGGGCACACTTGGCCAAGAGAAAAAATATATTAAATAATAAATTCAGATCAGAAAAGAAAAATCTGCTGCAAATACGGATAGCAATCAAGTCAGCGATACCTCATGCCTGATCGTATTTCCTCTATTGTGTACCAGATGTACCAGAAGAGGAAGCCTACAAATTGGTTACAGTGGGTGGGGGTTGAAGTCCTGCTTACTTGGTTGGGAGGGCATCTGGTACAGATTTCTCAGCAACACCCAATAGAAACTGACTGATCTGTGGACACCACCAGAAAAAAATTGCACGCACGCTATGGGTTAGCATTGGAACAGTGCATGTCAACATTGTTGAAAGTTTGGGAGTGTGAAAGTTGAAAGTTGAAACACACATGATGATAAACATGATGGTAGAAAATAAAGGGGGCAAGTTTGGCAAAGCAGCCCTCGAGACGTTCGTAAACGCGATAAAAGTTCGTAAAAGTGTCTCTTCATGAAACATGAAAAGCGAAGAAACTTAACGAATATGCAGAGCTGAGAGCTAGCATAAGTGTAGAATCCAAACATTCCAGATGAAACTTCAAATCACTTTGGTTACTTTTGGTATACGCATGCAGAATCATTGCAGAACCCTTGAAGCAACTTATCCGCAAAGGAGTGACTGCAATGAGCCTTGGAGCAACTTATCAGCAAAGGAGCGACTAGTACTGACTACAATGAGAAGCAGCAACAACAACCACAACTATGCTGCAACAACTCTATGAAAACTACTAAGTACACCAGTTGGGGTTTCCAGGGTCAACCCCCCCCCCCCCCCCCCCCCCCCCCCCCTTCAAAACCTTATCATACAAACAGCAGATCTATTACACGACAGGAATAAAGCTTTAGGAGGAGGAGGAGGAATAAGAGGAGGACAGCGAAGAGAGGGGAGAGACGGAGCAGGAGGAGGAGATGATTATGACGACGAGGAGGGAAGGGGGAGGGGAGAGGGTGAGGTCTCAGCTTGATATGTCTATTCAGCGGAAGATAAACTAAGTTTATGTTAAGTCCAGAAGAGGTGCACTGGGAGGAAACCTGCCAGAAAACAAAAAATGCCGGGCTGTTATCCGACATCCAACACTCAGTTTCCTCTACATAAAGCCTGCTCTGATTTCCTCCCCCCTGACTCCCCCATTCCCCCCAGCACAATCTTGCCTCGTTTATCTGCCCTGAGCACTCAGCAAGGTTGATCGTACCGGAAGCTTGGATCAGCAGAAAGGCAAACTGGCTGCAAGACCAGCAAGAAAACAGACACACAAAACACGGAGAGCACAGGTGGCATCCCTCAAAACACATCTAGACTGTGCCCTATGCATCACAGGGTTTTCAGTCAGTAGATTCCAGCATCACAACTTGTACCTCCAGCTCAGCAGAATGCTAAGAATTTCTGGGAATGTCAGGGCACTTACCTGACCACCATTCCTCCCTGTCCCAAAATATCCACCTGCACACGCACGCACACACACACACACACACACACACACACACACACACACACACACACACACAGCAACAACGGACAACGAGAAAAAGGTCATGTCTTACCCAGCCAGTATGTTCATCGCACAGTCCGGAGGACAAGGAGGAGGAGGAGGAGGAGGAGGAGGGGGAGGAAGGGGAGGAAGGAGAGGAGGAGGAGGAGGAGGAGCGGGAGGAGGAGGAGGAGGAGGAGGAGAGCAGCAGGAGGAGAGCGAGGAGGAGGACAAGGTAGCCATTGGTGCTCTCCTCCCTTCGCTAAATTAAGCGATCAACAGGACATGAACAAGGGGCAAAGACTTCCCTTCCGGAACAGAACCACCAATGACCACTTTACCTCTGTCAGAATGTACCTGAATATCTGGGCGTCCTGGTACAGGTCATGCAGCTGATGCAATTTACCTCGCCTTCAGCGAACTGTAGCAGGTACATTCTGACAGGCAATGTCGTGAGCACCTTCGTTGCCGCGGGTTGGGCGTCCAACTTCACAACAAAAGGTCACATTATAAAGCAGCAATCCGTACAGTTTCTGGCTTTTTTCTGACCGAATTAAGTTCAATCAACAGGGCCACTTGTCGATCTGTTCATGCAATCTTTGCCCAAGGAGCAGTCATTTCAATCATGCTCTATGCATTGTTCCCCATGCCATCCATGGTAAAAGCTTCTCATGCCATGGTAAAGCCTTGAAAAGTCAAGAAGAACTTCACTTCTCATGGTAACAAGCTTATCATGCCATGGTAAGAACTTCAAGAGCCAATAAGAATCTCACTTCTCCCATGCCAATGATGCCATGGTAAAAAGCTTCTCATGCCATGGTAAAAGCTTAAAAAGTCAAGAAGAACTTCACTTGTCATGGTAACAAGCTTCTCATGTCATGGTAAAAACTTAGAAACCCAACAAGAGTTTCACTTCTCAGGGGAACAAGCTTCTCAAACGATGGTAAAACGTATTAAGAACTTCGAAAACCAAGAAGAATTTCACTGCTCAATGCTCATGGTAAAAAGCCTCTGATGCCATGGTAAACAGCTTCACATACTATGGTAGAAAACTCCTCAAGATTCTTCAGCACATTACAGTCCTTCGAAGTCGAGCCCCTACCTTCTACACCCGGATAGAACGCCCAGTCATCATAGCTGTATCTGGTGCAATTTTCAGTCCAGAAACAGCAATAATGACCGTGCATTTTACTCAGGGGAGCACGGTAGTCTCCCCTTTTCTGGTGACTGTGGGATTGATTCCCTAGCACAAAGGAAAACCAGTTTAAAGTTTAAACCACTCAAATAATTGACGTTTAGAAGTTTTAGTTTCAAAAAGGCGTCTCGTATCACCCTTCTCGATAGAGGCTCCCACACAAAACAACTGCAGCGAAGAATTGACTCTCAACGTAACACGGTGTTGACGGGTAAGGTAGAAAGATCTGAATATGATCCAAATCGTTCCTCTTGGATTGCCCTAGCGATTCCGCACTCTGCGCATTCGGCTTACTTACTGTGACTCCGTGAGACAGGACAAGCACATGCGCCAGAGTGGAGCCAAAGGCGCAACAGGAATCAGAGGCCAGCATAGATAGACGACTGGCCGAAGAGGCATTCAAACGGAAAAGGACAAGTGAGGGCATATCGATCGCTAGCACAAACTATACCCAAGATGCTTGTCCAAGTTCACTTTTGTTTTACGAGATGAACTTGGTCATGTTATGGTAAATCGGTTGAAGACAGACGGTAGTCTCCCCCCGGTGACTGTGGGATTGATTCCCTTAGTAAGTTAGTAATACAAATCTTTGGAACCAAAGGTGTATCTTCCATACATAGCCTCCGGTGCTTGACTGCATACATGGCTCTTTTTTTTTTTTCTTTTTTTTGGGGGATCGCATTTAGTCAGTTAGATTGCGTATGAAGAAAGTCAACTAATGGCGGCAGGAACGAAGAGAGCCATCAGACGATTCAGATCTCAATAATCGGTCTGAGATCTGTGCAATGCTAATGAGTTTGTCCAAGTCTGGAAGGAGCCTCTGGAAGTTTCTGTGAATTGACGAAGAAGAGGACCTGAGAAAAGGTTTGACTCACCAATGACGAGAACATCGAGGTCAGAACCAGTGTTGAGATAATCGGGCTTGATCTTCAGCCACTTTGCTGAGCGATCATTGGGCTCCCACTTGGATGACAGATCTTTGATCACAACTCCTTCTTCCCTGCAAACCAACAGTAAAGAATTCACCAGGATTTCTTCCAAAATTGATAAGCGCAGCAGATATGATGATTTAGAGCGCAGCAGAGGTCGTTAGCTCAGCTCCTAGTAGCCGCACCAGCTAGAATTCCCCTCACTACAGCTCTGAATGCATTGGCTGACAGACTGTGACAGGCATGTAGTGTAGCATATCAGAAAGTGAAATGCACTGAAAGCCTAGGATCTAGCAATGACGAAAGTGGCAACAACCAGCAGCATAGGTGCAACATTCACAAGGTGTCAATGTGCGCGACGCAAAGAGTGAAA